GCAAAAGGAAAGCCCCGTGGCTGATAAACAGTCGATTTTTGTGATATTGTAATTCAGAATAGATAGCACCAAAATGCAAATGAATGATCGAATCTAAAAGGTATTTGAAAACTAGCTTTAGAATGTGTTCGTAACCTAAAAATGCCAAGGCTTCGATCGCTCAAAAAAGTACCAATCGAATTCTTTGTCCAACTATTATATATGAACAGATGTATTCAACATTAAAAGTCAAAAATTTGCATCCCTAGATGGAAGAGAAAGTAGCTCATGCCAGTATGTCGAGAGTACTACAACATGAGCAACATAAATTAAATATAGCAGGCATTTGGAGTAGTTTACAAAGTCATACATCTTTATCGTCCAACTTGGTTAAGTCTGTGGATATAAGACTATGCAATCCAAAGATATGTAACCAGAAATCGCGAATTCTTGACTAGGAATTACACTAAAACGTAACATCAAGCTTAACTTAATTCATTATTTGACTTCCTTGGTGCTGAGTTCTTGTATATAGCTTATTCTCACAAGCTCGTCAAGCATAATGCAAAAGTGAGCTGAAAGACAGCCATGGACTTTATGATATTATCTCATATCTAGTTGCTGGATTTAAAAAAAATTTTGAATTACATTTATCGTCCTCTATTTGGGAAACTGAATTACATAATTCAGCATTAACAATTGTGAAATGAAAATATTAAAATGCATTGGACTAGAATTCTAGACAATCTACCTTAGAAACGATAATTTCTAGTATAAAAAACAAAAGGATATCGAGTATAACCACATTCGGTTATTAATCTATTATCTGATGAGCATTTATACCGCCTACTTCTTGGTGACTTTTCTCGATCGACGACATGTTAGTAGCCAGTCCAGTATCGACGACTTGAGGCATCTCAATCCACTTGACTCGGTTTGGTCCAACACCAGCCAGACCTTGAGCAAAATCGTTCATATGTGGAGAAACGCGGGTCCCAGCGTCAGACCTTGTGCCTTGACTGAAGCGTCGGTTTGCAGTCTTACCGACAGAGTCAATGTAATCAGAAGAGCGCGACTGTAAAAATATGCATAACAAGCTAATATAAATGATTACTTATGGCAGCAAAGAAGCTTTTCATCTACATAAGAATTGAAAATAGCAATCAGTTTTTGAAAATAATAATTAGTTTCTTAATTCTACCAAAATATATTATTTCGCTAAAAAGATGTTTGACTAAAAATGGCCCAATACTCTGGAATTTCTAGCATTGGTTTGACTTGGTTTTCGCAACTTGGTTAAAGAGACAGGGAAACCTTGTGAAAAATACCTAGTTTTGTGTTTTATTCTATACTATTCATTATAATATTCCACACTAGGACTACTAACTTGGTACATGCAAATGTTTCTTCGACCATGTCAAGTCTTGATACCGGAAATAATCATGAATACTATGGCAGGGGAAGCATAACTTGGTATATTCTATAAGGTCCCCCTGGCGCTCTGAACAAGTTGTAAGATGAGGTTAAACCAACACGATAAAGTTAAATAGAAGTTCAATTAGTCCTAGGGTTACACAATCTGATCTTCATAT